TAATGAACAATGATTTGTTAAAAATGCAGAATTTGACAGTTGGTGTAATAAACACATTCAGTAGTTAATTTATTTACTATGAGATATTTTCTGCAATAAGTCATTAAAATTTGGATCCTAGTTCAGCTCTGCATGATCTCCTTCCCCAACCTCACTGCGGCCTGTAATGTTCGGCGGTTGTGCAGTTTTACACCTATGATTAATGGGTAGCTACCATAACTGAGACTACATTACAGTATCTACTTGGTTCTTGGTTGAAACTTAGAAATAGTAAGTAAAATGACATCAATCTATTTCTTTTCTCTTTTTTTTTTAAGCAATCGAAAATCTGATGAGGCCTGAGTTTCCAAACGAAGCCCCTGCTGTAGCTATGCCCCTGGTTTGTATATTAGCATAAGGATCAACAGGGACTCAAGTACTGGAAGGACACACATGTCTACTCCTCATATCCAACATGCCATATATTCACACCCTCTTTCTAAGTCATGTTCACAGTTCTGATCCTCTTAGCTGTGAATGAAATATTACACAGGTCACACGCCACCTTCCATAGGAGCACAGTTAGAAGGCCATAGTCATAAGATTAAGAACAACCTCAAACATAGCATTTTCAATACTGCATTGTTCACAGTGAGAGAAAACGGCATGCATGTGTAAGGTCAGAGTGCTGACCTGGCAGCTGCTTTCGTCTGAAGGTGCGAGTGTCAAGTGTGTACAACGTGACCTTACGTTGCCACTGCAGGGATTGAAAACGACCAGTTGAGGAGAGCTTGTGGAGCGTCCCTGGCTAGAACCTGCGGCAGAAAGGTCAGCCCTGCTTGTCGCTCCCTTTTCTTCTGACCTGTGCTGCACACAGCATTGTGGCAGCAAATTGAACCTGGCAGTATTTCATATTTTCATCTGAATAGGCTTATCTCAGGTAGAGGCAAAATACTGCAATACACGTTGCAAAACCACTATTAGCATTCAAACATGAAATGAGGTGGAAATCGCACTGTAATATACAACAGACGTAATGAGGGTGAGAAATGAAGACGCGGAAGAAAGGTGTGAAACATGAAATCATTCTCATTTTCCAAAAAAACCCTTGTAATTCTCAGAAAATTCCCATTCAAGTCGTTCAAGGGAAAAAAAAAACACGTGAATAAGACTACATTTTTCCATTTCAAAATCATAACACAGCAAATGCGATGGACATTCATATTGACCCCAGCCACCATCAATTACCATTCGTACAATGTCGCAGAGTATGAGTCATCTCAATGAAGGCCCTGTCCTGAAAAGTTGGGTCGGTCACAATGAAAAAGCAGAGAAGCAGACTTAAGTAGCGTGTTAGGCTCCATTCAGGCACCTTCCAGTCTGCAAGAAGACTGAGCATAAGATTTCAGAACATAACTGCTCGGAAAATGTCTTCTCTAATGAGTGCCTGGGGCAGGGCCATGTCCATTGTGCTGTTTGTTTACATGGCTTTGTGCGGATAATCGTATCACAGGCAGAGAGAGAGGGCACAATGCTTTTGTGGAGCAAGTATTTCATCATAAAAAAATGACTCGAAGAGGAGTGAGTGACCAATAAAAGCTAGGATGATTGTTAATAATGCCCAAGTATTCTTTGACCACCAAAGCAAGATGAAACCGTGCTGTAAATGATCAAATAGTCATACTAGAAAAGAAGGAATAACAACAGTGTGCCAACTGAGTATCAGACGTCATCGATGGAAAAAGTAACTTAAAGTGAGTCTTCATATTATTTGAAATATTATGAACATTTTACATGGAAGAAACGAAAAATAGACAGTGTATTCACTGTTTGTAGCATGCCTGTATATTTTCTGCTTTATTTCTCATGATCTTGAGAAAGACATGTTTCCTTTGAGCTTGTAATAGGAACGCACTTGCCCATGGCAGGCTAACCTCAGTGAGTTAATTAGCTAGATAAGCACTCGGCTTCTAGCGAGCCCAAAATGACTCGAAATAACCACGGTGGATTTGCTGAGGCCTGGTAAATGGGTTCAAACAAGAAAGTGAAATTTAAGCCAACTTTGTAGCTGATGCTAAATTTGCACACCAAACATGTCTTGGCTGAATGACTTCATTAATGACTGTGCTAATATAATAGCTTGCCGTTAGCACTATAAGCAAAATCAGGTTCTTGATTTGAATTACGTTAAAAAAACCTTTTTACCTTAAATAATAAAAAAAAGTTCACAACTGCAGTGATAAGTCCAGACGATTCATGTTGAATGGATTGCTGATTTTAAAGGCAATACACACAATTAATAGAATGAGATGAACATAGATTTTGTGGAGACCCCACAAAAGCAGACCCCCTAGTGGCCATTCTACCAGCGGAATGGCAATCAATTGAGATATTTTTAATTTCTTTAAATAAAAATAAATAATTTTTTCCTGTAACTTTGTTATCAGACGAACTAGGACGCTGTTGAGTCTCCAGCATGTTGAGCTGCTAGTGAGCAATGGGGACTAAAAGGGGTTGAATGGGGGGAAGGAGTGAGAACCCTCTGGCATGAAAACAGTTCACATCTCTTCACAGAGGTACAACAAATTGCAGCTTTCTTTATATCAAAAAATTGCAAACATCTGCCTCAGTAAAAAAACAGCATTTAAAAGGTTTTATAAATGCTGAAGATGAAAAAAAGTTTACTTATGGTTTTGTAAAGCATACACATTTCCATCAAATGTGGAAATCTATTTCATCAATGTTACTAAAGTGATAAAAAGCCTAGTTCAAGTGAGGGACCTTGAAAACATGAATTGGGGAAACTGCGTTTTATGGATACTGTCAAAAAAGGTTTAAAGGAGTTATCATTAGCTTCACACTGTTGGTTTGTGAATCATTTCATGGCATAGGAACAGGCATCTGATTTAGATTCAAGCTAAAATCTCACTGTTGGCAGATGCCAGGACTCTATCTGTACCCGCTTATAATTATTCACCCAAACAACATGTAGGCCTATGTATTATGAGTCTCTACATTATTAACAGAAAATCTGTCAAGAAAAAACTTTTTGAAAATAAATGTATGCATCCTTTTGCCTCAGGGCAGCATGTCGGCTGACCAACATAACAGCATCCAAAGCACAAGAAGTGCTCAACTTTATTTATACAGCACCTTTCATACATAAAAATGCAGCTCACAGTGCTTCACAATGAAATTAAATAAAACATCAAAATCATGTATGTAAAACAGAAAAAATCTATTGAAAGAGGTGTTTAATAAAAAAGGTAAATAAATAAATAAATAAATAGAAATATGAATAATTAAACACTTAAATACAAAGAACAAATAATAAAATAACATAAAATGATGATGAAACATTAGAACAAAAAAATTAAGAGCTGTCAAGAACCCAACAATACGCAAAGCTAAACAAAAATGTTTTCAACTTCCTTTTAAAGCTGCTTACAGATGATGCCTTACAAATGTTAATTGGAGGTCCAAATTTTTGGTGTGTAAAAACAGAACGCTGCTTCATAAGGCTTTTTAGGTTTCATCAATAATACAGCACTATATTATCTTAAAGATCTTAAAGCATGATTTGGAACATATTCTGTCAGGCGTTCAGGGATGTATGTAGGTGCTAATCCATTAAGAGATTTATAAACCAGTAAATGGAATTTAAAATTAAATTCTAAAAAAGAAGCCAGTGTACTGAAGCTAAAACAGCTGCTACATGTTCTCTACCTGCAGAGTTCTGAACAAGTTGTAGTCTGCCAACTGTGCATTAGGTGACCCAGTGAATAATGCATTACAGAAGTCAAAGGCATGGATCAGCTAATCATCATCTTGCAGTTTGAGAAAAGGTCTAACTCGATAAAGTTTCTTAATGAAAGAATTCTGTTTTTGTAACATTTTCAATGTGAGATTTAAAAATTAAGGTGGAGTCTATAAGTATGCCAAGATTTCTAATCTCATATTTTGATTGTGGAGCCAAACTTCCTAACTGAATTAAAACTTTTGTTCTCTCTCTTTAATGACCAATTATGAGAATTTCTGTTCTTTCTTCATGTATTAGAAACATATTATTCATACAGTTAATGATACTGGACAAACAAGTTGTTAGTTTATTTAAAGCACTTGTATTATTTAGCTCTACAGAAATATATATAATTGTGTATCATCGGCAGAGCTGTGATAACTGACCCCATGCTTTTTAAATAATGTGACCTAATGGAAGCATGTACAAAGAAAAAAGAAGCAGGCCTAATACAGAACCCTGTGGAACACCATAAAGTATATCATATTCACCGGACCGATGCTCAGCTAAACGAAAGTACTTTCTATCTTTAAGATATGTATGGTTTTGGAGGTGCTAAGCTACATTGGTCTATGCTGTTTTTTTTTCAGCAGGGTTTAAACTTATGGCAGTATAACAATATGAACATTTCCACCATAAGATACCATAGTGGATCATTTTAGATTCATGGTTTACTGTACAATAAACCTATCTACTATAAACCACCCTGGTAAAACCATGGTAGAATCCCAGTATAAACGTATTTACCATGATGGCACCACAGTAGTTCATACACTAACCATAATTACTTTAAACCACTGTAATATGGTAGTATCACAGTATAAACATAGTTACCATATGGCACCATAGTAGTTCATGGTTGAAAGGTTAACTATACAATAACCATGGTAACTATAAACCGCCATAATAAACCAAAAAAACACATCCTAATGGTTGTTTAGAGAGATGTATTTTTTAATGTATGCTTTAATTGGTGCCCACAACATCTTGAGGGGTATCTTTTATAGAATGACTGAAGACTCCTTATTGAGAACAGTCATGGTGGGCTCAGGGAGGCCTGTAAAACCAGTTCAGAGCTCAGAAAGTCTAATTTAACATTAAATAAATGGAAATAAATGAATAAATGAAAGTCAAATCGACTCCATCGAGTGTGTGGAGAAATTATTGAGTAATAACCACAGACTAGAAGAGCTAAGAAGGCTGGAAGGAGAAGTAGACCTACTGTCCTCAGACTTTCCCCGTGTTTGGTTTACTTGGGCAGCAGAAAAGGGTGGGACTTGGAGCGGGAAGGCTGCTGGGAGACGGTTCTGTCTGTGGAGGCAGAAATACTCGGCATTCCGCTGCCTTTTTTTTCTAACGCAAGCAGCGAAAAACTCAGCCTGCACATTCCCAGCTTTAGCCTAGCCGCGAAGGGAACCGTTAGCTGCACCGACAATGGCTTCGTCTCCTCAGAAGTCCCCTTCATCTCCCAAACCCCCGACCCCGAAGTCACCACCCTCGAGGAAGAAGGACGACTCCTTTCTCGGCAAACTTGGAGGGACTTTGGCGAGACGGAAAAAGGCGAAAGAAGGTGTGAGCTAATGTGGCTTTACAGGCCTGCGTTCCTCTCCACAGGGCAGCTCTGCGGCCGTAGCGCTTATCGTAGCGAGGCGGTGGTTGTTGAGACTTTTTTTTGTAGCCCACAGATGCTGAAGTGCTGAATAAGCTTGGTTGTGGGACAAGTTGTGATGGTTTCTTTCTGGCTGTTTCTTGTGTACCTGAAAACGTTTACAGTGTCCTCGTTTATACTGCATTTTCCACTTATTTAAACAGTCTGTCAGGGTCCTCCTTGGGAACCGTTAGGGCATCATAGGGTTATGAAATGGCCCACAGTGTCCTAACTTGGACTGCACTCGAGTGTGTGAAGTATCCGAGTTAGCGTGTCCTCATTTGTACACACTCGAAAAAGATTTTCAAGAGTTCTCTAGTAAAGGAAATGGTTCTGTTTAGAACTATATAGCACCTAAATTCAATAGAATTAACCTATAGATTCTGCAAAGCACCAGAAAGGTTTCTTCTACTGTAGCAAGCTTGACATTGTAACAATAGCAGAACCTTCTATTTCCTAAAGTGATGAACCATATAGAATCATATACGACACATTTTCCATCAATCTGAAGAACCATTTCACCACGCAAAGAACCATTTAAGCATGAAATGGCTCTATTTAGAACTCCAGGTTGTGAGTAGAACCCTCCCCTTTACTAAAGTACCCGTCTGTTTTGGGTGTGTAATTCATGAAAGTACGAGTAATAGTACAACATATCCTAATGATAAAGATCTATGCTAATATAACAGGAAATTCTCCAGGATTCTCTTATAATAAATTCAGCAAGTTACTACGGTATATTAGGCTACTACACACATATTATAGATCACTATAAGACAGAGCAACAGAACTATTATGATGAATATTGCTGTTATCAGAAGAAAACCTTGTATCTCCATTTTTCAGTTTTTGACATAATTTGAAAATACCTGTTGTCCTTCACACTGTATGTAAATATTATGACGAATGGACTAAAAGAAATGACCTAAAACGACTTGGAAAGAATTCTGGTTCCACTGACTTGCATTAAAAGTAAAGTTAGTTTTTTCCTCTTCCTGTAAAGTTACCATTTTGGAGATACGAGGTTTTCTTTCGACATATAGCGATATATTATGGATTATTATAGACTCGTATACAGCACCATAGGAATTGTATCGTTTCAATTAGTGTTACTATAGATAATTATTGAAGTAATATTGTGATAACATTGTGTAAATGTAAGATTCAGTGAAGCTAGTAAAAATAACAGGATGAGAAATATGAACCGCTGCATATATTGAAAACCCTGAAGTATCCCGGCTCACTCAGCATTAACCTGACCCATTCATGAGGCTGTAATCAGTGCTCACAAAGCCCGTGTTGGTTTGTCCACTGCACATTTCATTCCTTCAGGCAATGTAGGAGTCACCCGTCCAAGTGTTTACAAAAAGCTTCAAGGCCGTGCTTTAACCTTATATGGAAAAGTGTTGGCCTCTGCCTCCCGAAATGAATCATTGGAGACCATCGCTCTCCTGATTCACTACTGAATAAAAGCAGCTCTTTTAACTGAGCTAACTTCGACATAATATGTAAGTAAGCAAGTACAGTAAAGAGCATATGTTTCTAATTTGCCAGCTGTATTTTCCTTCTACTAAAAACAAATAGGTCTTCAATGGAACAGAGCTTTTCCTAAGAAAGACATATTAGTTCTCCTCCACTCTGCGTACAGCTGAGCCCTAACCACTCAAGCCCGGGCCATGGAGGTGAACACAAATTACTTGGGCTTTATTTGATTCCATCGAGAGCCTCTTTGGTCCCATATGGCTGAAGTATATTTAGTTAGGAGTGTTGAGACATGCAGAATCTATCAGAGAGAGCAATATAGGGAGAGGCACACATGAGGCAAACAAGCGAATCAAAGAGAGGGCTGTACAGGCTTGCGTCTTAAGTTTATACCATTGGACTTATATATGTTATGGACATACATCTGTGTTTTTGTCCGTAAGGTCCTTGGCCTTTGCTGGCACTGAGCTGAGCCTGGTTCAGACTGCTGACGTAATGGGAGAGCTGATTAAAAACAGGATGTTGATGTCTCGAGGGATGTCAGCCCAGAGTTCTGCAGGATTTTCTCATAGGCATGTGAAGCATGGCCCCACTGATTTGCCAACACTGATGAGGTTGTATGACATAGAGTATCATATGGGTATCAGCTGAGAGTGACTTCCAACATGCTGGTTTACTCTGAGACACACAGAGTCAGTTAAATAAGAGATAAGAGCACCACAGCATAACTTTTTGAAGCAAAATAACTGCATAATTTAAAACAACTGGGTGGTTCAAAGTGGCTGGATCAAAAAGTTAGTTAAAGTTAAGTGACCCTTATTAGTCCCACAACGGGGAAATTTCACCACCTTATTTTAACCCATCCGTGCAGTGGAACACCACATACACACTAGTGAACACACACACTAGGGGTCAGTGAGCACACTTGCCCGGAGCGGTGGGCAGCCCTATCCACAGCACCCAGGGAGCATTTGGGGGTTCGGTACCTTGCTCAAGGGCACTTCAGTCACATACTGTCGGCTCTGGATGTGGAACCGGCGACCTTCCGGTCACAAGGCTGGTTCCCTGACCTCTAGCCACGACTGCATAGTGGTGGGTGATAGGGATGCACCGATACCGGTTTTTTTTTTTAGACCAAGCATGAGTACATATTTTTGTAGTATTCGTCAATACTGAGTCCGATACCATACTGAGTAACATACTTAGAGTTAAAATGAAGTGCAATAGCCAGCTATGCTATATTACTTAACGCTAACTTTGACTGAGTAGCGCTGCAGTGGAGAAGAGCTTTAGCTCCCTGTCAGAAAAGCGCTTCTGTACAGCTGTAGTTTTATGTCACAACGGGTATCAAAATGTTGGTATTGGTGCATTTTAATGAGTACTGGTAATTGGACTGATACCAGTATTTCTTTCGATGCATTGCTAGTGGGTAATATGGCAAAATTATCATATTATGATACTTACAGCCATTTTCACGATACATGATGCATAGCACAGTATTTTGACAGATATTACTACGGCACACTGTGGTAGTAAGGCTGCATTGAATTTGAATAATTTTATTGCACTTTTCACATAATGCACTGTGCAGTGAAACTGGGCTAATTATTCTCACTTTATAATGAAACATACAGTGGTTTAACATACAAATTTAACAAAACATTGTCATATTGTTATATCTCTACTGGATAATTCTTACTTCAAACAATTAATAGTCCTGTTTACGTTAAGTTGTATGGGCTAAACTTAGATTTGGGGGCTTGAAAATATTAAGCTGACCCATGAAAATGAAAATATTAATTTCATTAAAAGTATATTATTGGTTTTATTAAATAGCACTTACTGAAAATTAGCTGAAAATAGGGATTTACTGTTAATGAATTTATATGGCCGATTGTGATTTTCTTTATAGCCAAAATGGCCAATAGACGAATTTTTTGGCTGATTCTTATTAGCGATTTTTTGAACCTGAAGTTCACACAAGTGAGGGCCAAATAAACATATGAAACACCTTATCACATTTCCAGTATTCTCTGTTAAGCCATATTACAATATAAATGGCATTTTTGGCGTTTAACAGGTCAAGCTGCCATTTTAAATTTCTAAACAAAACTAAACTTTTAAAGAGAATCTGTCAAATAAAGCACTGCATCGAAGTAAGAGGTGACTGGCAATTTAGCAGTTGCCTCTTTTTTAATTTAGCAATATACAGGGTGATTCAAAAAGATGAATCCGATTTCAAAGCGCCATATTTTTACAACCGTGAGGCACCGAGGAACCAATCACATACCTATTGAAAGAGGGGGTCATAGAGTTTCTGACTGTCAGTATGGCAGTGAACCTCCAACAGCTCAGAGCCTTCGGCATTGGTACCAACAGTTCCAAGAAAAAGGTCACCAGCATCACCAGATCTCATGCCGTGTGACTTTTTTTGTGGGGGTAAGTTAAGGACTCTGTTTATGTGCCACTCCCAACAACACTGGATGATCTCTGAAATTGCACTGAAAGAGCCGTGAGTGCAGCGACACCTGACGTGCTCAGGCGTTGATGTTGTCCATACAGCTGGAGGAGGTTCATATTGAGCCCTTGTAAAATTACATAATAAACTTTATGCTCATTTAAACCATTTACAGTTTACTGCATTATTCTGTAATGATTTACAAGTGAAATAAATCATTTTGAAAGCAGATTAATCTTTTTGAATCACCCTGTGTTTAGAGTTATGAATAATTATGCTACAACATGTTCGTGCAAGTGTAGCAGCAGCATTCAAATACAGCGCGAATGCACTTACCTTCCTCCTGTTATTTATGTCAGAATCAGCCATAAATAAAAATAAAAATAATATGTTGTCCTACTGCTGATGGTGTGTCTGGAGCAAACATTGTCCAATTCCCATCATGCATCCCGAGCTGAGAACATTCAGCTTGGCATCTTATTTTCACTGTCTGTTCTCTACATAACTCCTGTCACATTTTTATATTCAGGATATTTTAAAAATTATTCTGAATTGTACCAAATGAATTTGAGTCATTTCCTAAAGAATTGTAGTCATATAAAATTGTTGTGAGGTTATAAATTTCTGTTCCTGGTTAGGTCACATGCAACTGTCAAACTTTCAGAATCATGAAGTGCTTCTACTTTGTGCTCAGTCCCCTGTGGTACTGAATATGGTAAGATGTGTATCGATTGAAGGCTCATTGAAGGGCTGAGTTGTAGCTCTTTTGTTAACCCAGACGTGTTCAGGCCTGAATGCATAGCATTAGATGTGGCACTCTGAGCAGCCTCCCTCTGCTAAAACCAATACCACATAACTGACCACTAATGATGAGAGGCACAGCCTAGTGCAGAGCATACTGCTGCTAAAGCGAGACATCGTGTGTTCTATTAGCTGTCTCTATTATGATAAAACATGGAGACATAGTATAGGATAATAACTGGTTGAACGTGTTTAATACCAAAATAAGAGCTGACGATATGTACATTGTAATATTGTGTGTTACAGTTATACTGTGGGCTGATCCCAAAGGAAAATCATCATTTATTGATGCTCTTTGCAGTTTCTGAGCTCCAAGAAGAGGGCATGAATGCAATCAACTTGCCCCTGAGCCCCACCCCTTTCGAGCTGGACCCCGAGGACACCATGTTGGGTAAAATTTCACATTGCCAGAGTCAAAATCTCAGTTTTCAACCCCATGTTCTCCAGCTTGCTTTGAAACACTGTATGCACGCTTTGTCCTTAAAGAGGAGAATGAAGTCCGCACCATGGTTGATCCCAACTCCAGAAATGACCCCAAACTCCAAGAGCTGATGAAGGTATCTTGTCTTTATTGTAGTGTGTGAGCTTTATTACAGTGTGTAGCCTTAAGCTGGCAGTATACTTTAAATGGAAAAGGGAAGTCTTTTGGGCCAAAATCACGCTGTAGTTCGACTTATGCCGGCCTTACACCAAACGACTTTTCAAGCAATTTCACTGTCGCAGACAAATTTCCAATGTCGGAGTAAAATCCTGAGAGTCGCATTGTGCTCGCATCATCTTGATCGTTTAGTGTAAGGTGGTCAGGATGGCCGTCTTAGGTCAGTCTTTTTCTCATCTTGACGCCACGACAAAATCAACCATGATTGATATTATTGTAAATTTTAAGTCTTGGCTCATGCAAATAGTGAGGTGCCAGGGGTGCGCAGAGAGCGAGTGAGCGTATACGTGCGGCACAAGAGAGAGAGAGGGAGAGAGAGAGAGAGAAAGAGAGAGAGAGCGTGTGTGACAGCCTGAAATCTCCATAAAAAAGGCAAATCTACTCCACTTTAAAACAATAATCATATTAACTTAAAAAATGTAAACTGGCTGTTTTAATATTTCAGGTTCACTGAATCTAACAGTGATGTAAGGAAATGTGCAGAGGGCTTTAAGAATGGCTTTATTAAAGAAGCATCTCTTTTTTTTCGATCTTTTTTCGTTCGGTTACAGTGGTTTTTTGTGTTTGTTATGTTTTTTCATGGTTTTGTTCATAACACCCAGTCAACAATGCTGAATCCCTGCATGTTTTGTTTATGTGTATATTAAATAATCTTTATGTTAAATAAAAAAGGAACTGCATATTTCTAGGTGATGATCTGTCAGAATATACAGCTCTACAGTGAACTGGGCTGCCCAGCCGACGTATCTTCCCGTTAGTACCACTACAGAGCGGAGAAGGGAAAGGGTTTCTCTGCTTGTAAATTTCCACCCGGTGCATGATGGGAAATAATCTCAAAAACCTAGTTGCAGTCTTGCAAATAGTGACCCTGCGAGATCCCCAGTCTTTGCAAAATCATAGCCTGTGACTAAAAACCTGTGATATTGTCTTTATATGTGAGAGGACATCAGACTTTAGTCAAGTCTTTTCAAGTCTTTTCACAGTCTTCTAGTGTGTGGTTAGCATTAGTACAGTGTGGCGTTTGTCACCTACTTAACAGAAATCCTCATCACTGGATCGTTTGTTTTGAGACCTCTCAATGTGATCGGTCCACGTCACATTTGCCTGCATCACAGCAGAGAAAGAAAATACTAATTATTTATTTGACCTTCATTTTATGTCTGGTTTTGGCTTCACTTACAGCCTCCTCAAACATAGTTTGTGCCTCTAGTGGCGCAGAGTGTCCTGAAAAACACAGAGTTCTTTTATAACTGTGCTTATGGCAGCTGTCCAGTGGTAGTTCCCTTTCTTTTAGTTCAGGGTTGCCTAAACATTTTGTCTCGGAGGGCCAAGGAGTGACTAGCAACTCATTAGCTTTATGTTTTCGCACATCGTCAGTAAATGTGGAGGTTTGTTCTTTAAATACTATGGTTTCTTTACATACAAGGCAGTGAAAGAAATTGACCTCAGTGGTCTTTGTATCTCCTCTTGTATCTCTGCCTATTATGATCTGTTTGTTTGTAACTCTTAGCTATGTATGTGTCGTTACATCTCCACTGCAGTCAGTGACAATTATATGGTGACAAGGGTTGTAAATTTCATTTTATTTTATTACATAACATGTTTTGTTACTGAACGTGCTCTGAAAAAACATTTTTCAAAGAAAAATGAGAAGCTAAAATAAGTTCTTCCATTGGCTGAGTTAGTGTGGGGTTTTGGGCAACTTTCTGGTGAGCCAAATCAAACATACTTGCGTGCCACTCTTTGGGCAGTCCTGCTCTGTCGTCATTTAATCTATACTGCCAGCTTTAAATGCTACTGCACACAATATATGAACTTCATTAAGAGAGAAAATTGTGTTGTAAGTCAGAATAAATATAAATCATGAATTGATTGATGTCATTGAGATGCCATTTGATTCCCACTGACGCAGGTCCTCATCGACTGGATCAATGATGTTTTGGTAGGCGAGCGGATCATTGTCAAAGATCTGTCCGAAGACCTTTATGATGGACAGGTTCTTCAGAAGCTCTTTGGTAATACCCTAAAAAATTAACCGTCCTGTAGCTGTATGTTGTTTTCTCATCTCTTTCATCTGAACAAGAAGGTTGTCCTTTTGCTATCGGTTTTCAGAGAAGCTGGAAGGAGAGAAGCTCAATGTTGCTGAGGTGACACAGTCTGAGATCGCCCAGAAGCAGAAACTTCAGACAGTTCTGGAAAAGATCAATGACACCCTTAAAGTGTCCTCCAGGAACATCAAATGGAACATTGACTGTAAATAGCTCCAGAATCCGTTTGATTATCCAGTTGGATCACGTTTAGTCAGTAGATTTCTGTTCAGCTCTAACAGCATGTGTTTAGAATTGCCTTGACCTCTGTTGTCTGTTCCTCAGCGGTCCACGCTAAGAGCATAGTGGCCATACTTCACTTGCTGGTGGCCCTGTCTCAGCACTTCCGAGCTCCGATCCGTCTCCCAGACCACGTGTCCATTCAAGTAGTAGTAGTCCAGGTACTCAGGCAATTGTTTCCAGGTAGCTTTTCATGTAGAATTTGTAAAAGCGTGAAAGCTTTGGAGCAACTCGGCACAACATGGGCTTGTTTTCAATTACAATGGGAAGCAAATGTGTTGTTAATGTCTTTTCAGCTTTGTCCTTTATTCCTCATTTCTGTCTCATTTATTATATTCTGTCTTTCCCACAGAAACGCGAGGGCATACTCCAGTCTCGGCAGGTCCAGGAAGAAATTACTGGCAACACAGAGTATGTCATCACTGTTGTACTTTTCTCTGTCAATAACTGGACACAGCTGTGCAAATGAAACTGGATCTGCTAATATCTTCCAATGGACCGAATTAGATTCTCCTGAAAAAGATGTTGAATATGGGTAGCATTGAGGTTGAATATGAGTGCTTATACTTGCAGAGACATTGGCAATTAAGATTAAGCACTGGAAGTCAAAACTAATTGCTCAAAAGCATATTTAGAAACTGTTCTGTTGTTTGAAGTGTTTGATCTTTTCTTTGTACTTGGAGGAAAATGACAGGATATTTCAGCAAGACAGTGCGAGCTTCTCACGTGTGCAGATTAAGGAGTGAGGAAATTCAGTTAGAGACGGCACCAGGTATCAGTGTTGGGCTGATATCAGCAGGAAATGCTGGATTGGATATCGGAGGGAGGAAAAAATTAATCTTATCCAATCTAGCCTGAAATAGCACCCACTCACAGTCACATTGTGTGATATGATGTTGTTAGTATGTATTTCAGTCTGTGGGATCGTAGAGTGATTGAGAATATTAGCCTTTATAGCCTTTTTTGGTGCTCAGCTTTAGGTCGCAATCACAATAGACTTCAGCAGTTTGTGTCGCCTGGTGAAATAGGCCTGACCAAGGCCTGACCGGAAGATTAACAATGAAAAAATCCTCTATTTTGGTGGAGTTAGAAAGCTAGCTAACTCAATAAACATAAATGGCACATAAAAGCACAAGAGCAAACTTATTATAAGTGTAATATAGATAATTATATATAGATAATTGGTGTGGTTGGCGGTAGGGCTGAACGATTTTAGGAAAATATCTAATTGCAGTTTTTCTGACTAATATTGCGACGGCGATTTAAATTGCAATTATTGTCTGTAAGGTTATACGGTTTTTTTTTGGCCAGGAAGTTCGGAATATCCACTTTTTCTGGCTTTAGACTTGACCCCTGAATGTAGTGCGCCAGACTGCCGGTAAATTGTGGTTGTGATGTCACAACATATGGAGGTTTGGCTGCCTCTGATTGGTTTAACTCATCTATAGGCAGCTCACAGGCTCTGTGTTCTTTGGTTAAATTTCCCCACTTAAAACTTAACACAGTGTTTTTTACAATATAAGCTATCATTTAAAAAAAAATGCAGCCCTTGCGATTTAAAAATTACGTTCTCTTACATCACGATGTCGATTTTTAATCTTTCAGCCCTGGTTGGTGGCAGTGGTTGACTGGTGCATGCAGCAGCTTAGCCAAGGAGATAACATAGCAGTTGGAAGCTGGCCAATTCAACTACCCTAAAAACAGTCAAAACACAAAAGTAAAGATAATAATACAGCCTCTCGACTGACTGTATATCATGTAGTCTATCTGTTGTGTTTATTTATAGCCAGTGGGAACGAAATGTTAAAACGCACTGCTAAAGTGTTTCCTCAGTTTACTTTCTTCAGTGCTGTTGTTTAAATTCCCACCCCATTCAGAGATCAGCGCAGCCAAAGTAATTGCACTATTGGTCAAGGAGTTCAACCAAAGTTTTGTAAGCAAAATGCATTGTCTCCAGATTTTGCAGATGCTAAAGTATGACCGATTCATATGTGAAGGGCTTCAAGTAAAGAAGAATTGAAAGCTTATTCATTTTTAAAGAAAACATTGGATTGTTATTTTTTTGCGAAACTGTTTGAGAATGTTTGGGGAAGAAAAATTCAACCTCTGTACATGGTCTGTGGACAGCAGTGAAGAATGCCCGTGTAGGTTTTTTAGATAAAAAAATTATTTATGTATGACAGAGTGCTGTGATGTGGTCATTAAGACTAGAGAAGGACCTCCGATTACTGTAAAACATTCTTAGTTTCTGTTTCCTATGTTACCATTTATTTTTAGTGTGCATCAATGAAAAAAACTTTGAGTTATTGTTTTCGGCTGCCAGACTATTGCCGAGATAAGTATCTATAGCCAAATTCAGGGGCCCTGATTGTTGGAAGCATTGAAAATGGGTCTACTGTGCAAGACCTGGTAGACACCAAAACTGCCACCATCAGATAAACAGCACTTAAAGCTTTCATCTTTTGAGAGAGACAAGAAAATCAAGCTCCACTCTTACTTCAGATCTGAAAAAATCAACAGACCATCCTTCCACAGTAAGAAGACAAAGCAGCGTCTGTCTGAAAGGATGTGGAGCTGTCAAGACGTCATTACTGAGGGAAGGAAATAGGCAAAATAACAGAAAACCTGCGAATTAAACAAAGAAGCTGGACTAGACTTGACCATGGACCAATCCAGACATCACCATCACTGAATGTGTTTAGGATTACTTGGATTGTGAAAAGCAGAAAATGCAACCAACTTCTGAGACTGAACTTTGGAGGTGTGGAAAAATGTCCCTGCAGATTTCTTTAAAAACTGAAAGCAGGTCCCCTGAAAAAACTGAAGCAGTAATAAAGGCAAAAATTGGACACAATGAATACAGAAAAAAGCAATATATTTTAGATATGTACATAAATATCTGTATATAAATATACATTTTTTGTTTTTTCCCTGAAGCTGAAAACTGAATAACTTAATTTGACTGGAATTTAAATAAACAAAGGGGAGTCTCTGACTTTTCTATACTCACACAAACATACAACCCTAGCAATATAATATTTGCAGCGGACATAGTGGAAAATCGGTGGCCCTGGTTGTTGGAACCTCCAAGCGTCTCCGGAGTTGAAAAGTGAGAAATGCGCAGTGACATGCCAGACCCTGGGGATGGAGGGGTGTTTGGACGGTGTGGAGCTGGATCCTCATGCTGATGAGCAGCTTTGCGGTGAGATGGGCTTGAGCAGCACCGTGGCTGTGCTCCTGCCAGCGCTGCGCTGCTGCCCAGCCCAGCCCAGCTCTGCTCTGATTAATAGCGCTCCAGTGGGTGCAAATCACCTCCCCAGATAAGGCCGAGTGCGGGGCTCTTGGCTGCTGCAGGGCACGCGGACAGCAGCTGCCCAGGCATGCCTCTGCCGGGGCAGATTTGAGCGTGAAGGCGAGGCGCTGGTGGGCAGATGTCCACCAGGCCTGCATCCTAAAACCCAACTAACATTTGAGCGGTTTGCGACTGGGAACACATCACCGGCCCTCTCCCCTGCTAATCTTTTTGTTTGCCTTTCAGTCAGGACTCCCTTGATTACACTCTTCACATTCACTTTTTAAAATATAATGGCCTGAATGTGGGTCACACTCTCATAACTACATAACTTAGTACATATAAGTTTCACTGGAGTTAACAAATAAATTATAGTGGTTAGTGAATAATAAGACTTAAGATGAAAAACTGAGTCTATAGTTTAAGTGGTTGAACTAATATATTACTGTTTAGTGATGTTATTTGTCTAATTTTGTGTGTTTCAGACTTTTATTTACTGATTATCGGGTCTTTTTTCTAACACACTTTTTCTTTGTGTCTTACAGGGCACTTTCTGGAAGGCATGGTTTGTACCTCTCTGTTGCAATAATGCAAACCTAAATATAACAGTTTATTTCATTAAAGCAATAGTTCAGCAAAAAATCAGCAGTTTTTCCCACCCTAAGCCTAGCCAATGATGTTTCTGATGCTGTATGATTTATTGTTACCTATGAAATGGACAAGAATACATTACTAGCAACCATCTTGAAGAATGTGCTTTTGCCTAAGTATTGCTTTAGCATACAAAAAGGTGGATAATTAAATAATTTGTCCAGTTTGGATAATTTAGCTGATTTAATATTGTTGATCAATTAAACATGTTTGCATGCACTTCTTTCTTCTCACTCAGAGCGTGATGCGTTTGACACCTTGTTCGACCACGCACCAGACAAGCTGAATGTGGTTAAAAAAGTAGGTGCACTTATTTCGTTCTAATTTATTGTGGGACATTGCTACTGAAGGCCATCTCAGACGATCTGGTCTCTCCTGCAGACTCTCATCACGTTTGTGAACAAGCACTTAAACAAGCTGAATCTGGAGGTGTCTGAGCTGGATACGCAGGTAACTTGTTCAGAAAGAAATACATTGATTTGCTATATAATAGAAAATATATATATATATATATATATATATATATATATATATATACACTTTACAGCAGAAGGAAAAACCTCTTAACTTTTAATGGAAGTTAATTTCTGTTCACACACACACAATCACACACACGCTATATGGACAAAAGTATTGGGACACACCTCTTAATCACTGAATTCAGGTGTTTCATTCAGTCCTATTATCACAAGTTTATATAATCAAGCGCTTAGCTATGCAGTCTGCCTTTACAAACATTAGTGAAAGAATGGGTTGTTCTAAAGAGCTCACTGAACTTGAGCGTGGTGCTGTAAAAGGTGCCATCATTGCAACAAGTCAGTTTGCAAATTTTTTCCCACCTAGATGTTCTATGATCAACTGTGAGTGGTATTATTGAAAAGTGGAAGCGTTTAGGAATCACAGCAGAGCGGGTCACCGAGTGCTGAGGAGCATAGTGCATAAAAATCTCCAATACTCTGCTGATCAATAACTGCAGAGTTCAAACCTCCTCTGTCATCAACATTAGGACAATAACTGTGCGTCAGGAGCTTCATTTCAGGGTTTCAGTGGCCGAGCAGCTGCATGCAAGCCTTACATCACCAAGCACAATGCCAAGCGTTGAATGGTGTGGTGTAAAGTGCCGTTACTGGACTCTGAAGCAGTGGAAACGTATTCTGTGGAGAGAATATTCACGGTTCTCTATCTGTCAGTCTGATGGAGTCTGGGTTTGGCGAATGCCAGGAGAACGTTACCTGCCTGACTGCACTGTGCCAACTGTAAAGTTTGGTGGAGGAGGAAACGATGCAATGGGGTTGTTTTTCAGGGGTTGGCCTAGAACTTTTAGTTCCAATGAAGGGAAATCTTAATGCTTCAGCACCAAGACATTTTGGACAATTCTATGCTTCCAACTTTGTGGGAACAGTTTGGGGAAGAACCTTTTCTGTTCCAGCATGACTGAGCCCCAGTGCACAAAGTGAGGTCCATAAAGGCCTGGCTGTGTGAGTTTGGTGTGGAAAAATTGACTGGCCTGCACAGAACCCTGACCTCAACCCCATTAAACACCTTTGGGACAAACTAGGATGGAGATTGCGAGTCAGGCCCTCTCGTCCAACATCAGTGTCTGACCTCACAAATGCTCTTCTGGATGAATGGACACAAATTCCCCCAGAGACACTCCGAAATCTTGTAGAACCTTTCCAGAAAAGTGAAAGCTGTTACAGCTGCAATGCCATTAAAATGCCTTTGGATTCAGAAAGGGATTTATAAAAGCTTATTTAGGTGTAATATGTAGGTGTCCCAATACTTTTGTCCATATATTGTATATATCAGAGAATTCTAGGCTTGAAGTTTATATGCTTTATGTTGTTTTTTGCCACTAGTTTGCTGATGGTGTGTACCTGGTCTTGCTGATGGGACTCCTGGAGGGGTATTTTGTTCCTCTCTACAGCTTTTTCCTCACCCCTGAAAATTTTGAACATAAGGTAACACAGTTCATTCAGTTTATTATAATTTTCTTTGCCGTTTTTCCCAGTTTTCTTCCCAATTTTAGTTGTGTCAATTTCACCCACTTTCCCCATTGCATGATACTACCAGTACCATGAGTTTGATGGTTCACATGTGAAGTGCCATCACGTTTTCGAACTGCTGCCACACAATAGTTGGTTTCCCAGCCACGGACGGCTGTAACATCACCGTAGATCGAGCTTGCGATCTCCTCATAATTGGACCAACGCTTGTGCTTTACTATATTTTTTGATGATTATTATCCAGCATATCAGTTCACTGGCCTGTTCCATAACTGTAAATTACTTAGTGATGCTTTGAGAACTTTATTTTTCATTGATAACGCTCCAGTACTTGCAAAAGTGGTGACTGAATGAAGGTAAAATCATGGATTTTATAGGACTCTGAGTGTGTAGTCGATCATTCCCTGTGTACTTTATTCAGTAGGTTCTGTTTGAAACCAAGGACGTGCAAACGCAGCCTCAGAAGGAAACTAAAGACTTTCATTACATTATTGTCAATTCCTTGAACCATTTTTGCCCATAACTTGCAGTCTGATAATGAAGGTTTTTCTTTATCACCACTGTGCTTACATTTATGCTGCATTCTGTATTGTAGGTGCACAATGTTTCTTTTTCTTTTGAGCTGATGCAAGATGGAGGTTTGGAGAAACCAAAGCCCAGGCCAGAGGGTGGGTGTCATTTTGTTCCTATGATTACTTACATCTGTAGTTATTTGTCAAGCAAAACGCATATCCAAGTACCGTAATCGGTTCTAAAGGACTTCATTTGCTCAGAAATGCTAAGCCAAGTTGCCTGATTACAAACGACTGTAGTTTAATCTAGTTAGTGATAAGTACTGCCATGTGTATTTGTTGAGCACTTAAAGTGTTCTTTAATTTTGCTCTCATGCTTCGGTAAATGTGAAGCTAATCACCACATGAGGCTGCACCAATTAGCTTTGATGTAAACGGTGATTGCATGCTGAATTTGATGTAAACAGTGATTGCGCTGCAGTTTTACTGCACTTCAAATGGCTATGCGGAATCATGAGTGTCATGGAGCTTCTGTTTAGATGCAGAGGTGAGGAGAATCACCTAAACCCATACGCAAGTAAAAGTGTTGTTCCTCCAGTGAAACATTGATTCCAATATAAATCAAGTAGCCTAATAAAATTGAGTAGGCATAAACAGAATAAGGGCAAAAAACCTCCTTGACTACTGAATAACTCATCGAACTCATCGAGGCTGGCTTGTAAGACTTGAATACTCAAGTACTCATTACGCTAGTATTTGGTTCTCTAGGTAATATTCAAAAGCTTTGTCTTTTTTCAAGCCACAAAAATTGTAGCTTAAAATAGATTTAATCAGCAAAGGGCTTTGAATGAAACCGTTATTGTAAAAGTATGCAAAGGTTTGTAAAATTAAGATTATTTCTATAAATTAAAATTAATTAAGATTTTCTAAGTGAAAGTTAACACATCCTCTACCGTTAACTAACTTAACTATGGCATTGTTTTTGCTAATGTTCGTGCACAGTTTGTGTTGATTTACTGAGTTTACCATGTTGGGGAAAAAATAAAACATAATATTTAAAATGCTGTAAGTTTTGCGTAGGTCACATTTTATGTTTACTTAATTCAGCAGATAAATAGTATGTTCTCTGTAGAGGTTGTATTAACCTTTTCAACTCCTTGGGACCACCGGTGGTTCCAAAACACACTTCGTCACATTCTTCATAACTTTCATATTTCATAAGCTACGTTCAAAAGGTGGGGGTCGTATGAGAGCTGTAACTGTCTTCTTTCCAGTCAAATAGATGAGTAATTTTAAACCCTTATAATAAAAGAAGCTGAACTCACAATTTTTTTTGTCTACTGAAAGTCGACCCATTTTTCCACAAATCTGGGCTATAAACTATAAACAGATGGCGTCTCTTCAGTGATCTGCTCTGTAAAAATTATTTTTATAAATAATACAAAGAGCGTCTAAGATTTTTGGCTTTCAGCAGTAAATTGTAAGCATATAGTAACGTGTATAATCATAAAACACGTTCTGTTAATTTGAGGGGAGCGTCTGCAAAAAATAAATAAATACATACATACATACATACATCATCTAAACCGCTTATCCTTCTGGGTCGCGGTGGGGTAAATAAATAAATAAATACATAAAATAAAAATTTACATTTATTTCATGCACTTACCGAATAATTTGACTTATGATTTGGTCATGTGAATTCAGATGGAACAACCAAAATAAACCCTGGTGAATTTTCACTTGAAGTAACAAAACATGGAATTTTCTTATGATATGTAAATGGAAAATGTAAATAAATTACAGCTGTTTATTCGAGTGCGTCAAAAATGTATAACAAGCATTCCTGAAAGGCTTGCCTCACAGTGCAGCTGCACCACTTTCTATGGCTTTTGAAGCTGAAAGAGCAACGACGACTGTAAATGTGGGCCACTTTCAAATCAATCAGAGGTTTAGTAACTGTAACAACCACAACCAACCTCTAACCAGATCTGGTTTGTCTTAATGTGACATTCAGTAGACCTGGTTTGTTTGTTTTTAATGTGTAGAGATGGCATGATTTTATTATTATTTGTCCAATACTGATAACGATATTGAAACCTAGGGCATTGGCCGATACCGATCGTATGTTTTTTTCTTAAAAAGAAGTCGTTCACCCTCTCCTCAGACTGTTCTGAATGCAGCTAACCTCACGAGAAAGAAACAGAGAGTGAATGCAAGAGGAGAAACGAGTGCTGCACGAAATCTTCTGTGTCAAAAAATCACTCATTAGTTGTTTTGTTGGGTCTCATCAGGCACGGGTTGGTTAGCAGACCTCTATATCGACCCAACACCGATACCTGGTGTTGAATCAGTGCCATCTCTAGTACCATGTCTGTATTTTCTAACGAGGGAGTACTTTGCAGTATCTGCTGAGCTGATGCCTTAACTGCTCCTGTCCGCACTGTTTTGTCCATCTTCATCTCCTGTTTGTCCTCACAGACATTGTCAACTGTGATCTAAAGTCCACTTTACGGGTCCTCTACAACCTCTTTACCAAATACAGGAGCGTGGAATGAACAGAAGACCTGCACAAGACATCATCGTTCCACATCTCTAAGCGACCAAAGAGCAGATATCCTTATCAGTATTACATGAGGTTATTTTAATGTGTAGATGAGCTTTTTCTACATGTCTTGAAGTGTGGTCTGTATTTATTCAGCATTTTATAAAACTCATTTTTCAAAATTATATGCTTTTTATTTTAATTTGTCATTGTAATACAGACAGCTGTGAAGGATTGACAGCGGAGCTAAGTATTATTGTGTTTTTTGTGTCATTCTTATTGTCTTATTGCGTCTGTTGATCAGCTGTTATTGTAATATTTTATGTCACCTCGTTGGATTTTTTGGCGTTGTTTGGAGATAATATCAAGCCGATTTGAAATCCATGTCAATATATTCTCATTTAAGAGAGATTACTAGAGGTGCTGTAGGATCTGCTGTTGAAGTATTTCGTTTGACGCGACAGAAAAATTCCAAATGTGCATTTGCTCATATTTTGCGAAGGAAATCATTAAGGTCAAGCTTTGTATCAAATTATGGAATGGAGTTCTGTTACAGAGTAGCCAGAGGTTCAAGGCGTCTCTGAAGTAAACAGACCAAATTAAGTGGTTCAAACTTCGGACATTGTGTTGCTGAGCCGGATTGAAGGTTTTCCCGTTTATACAAAAACGTCTATAGATTGGAAGTAAACGACATATGAAATTGCTTTCTTTTAACCCTCCCGCCCAAAGGGCAGTCACAGAATTCAGACCGCGCGGCGAGGATTGCTACTAGTTTGAGAATGTAATGTGGGTGTTCGGGAAAAGAAAATGGATTCCCTTGTGCGGTTTAATTTGAAGGTCGCAGCAATCGTTTGTTTCACTGTTGAGGCTTGAATGCGGTCTGCGGGCCCGCTGGGCCCGGGGAAACGCGAATTCCTGTCTTTCAAACGGCTCTCACTCTTCTTATTAACCATTAATCATTTTATGCGAGCGTTCTGCGTGTACTTTTGGAGGAGGCTGGATAACAGTAAAAAATAAATTGATCTCAGCGTCTTAAGTTGCTGACAAAGCGGCGCAATCACACTTAATAACTTTGGTGACAAAGTGGCATTTATTTAACCTTCCCCAAAAAAAGGCTTGCTAAAAGGCAGAGTAGTGTTTAATTTAGTGGCTGAGACGCGTGGCGGTCAGCTGCCACGTCCCTGATGAAATTTGTGTTTGGTCGCGGCCCTCGCGTTGACATGAATGGTTCCTTCGAAGGCTGGGAGTCGTGAAAAGGAGAGGGCACATTTTTTCCTGCATGTAATGTCATACAGCTCGACGGTGCACAATTATACCTGACAAGGTTACAATAGAGGCTCCGGGGGATAATTGAAAGTGTGGCTCTGGATCTTTTAGGCCGCGTCGTGTTCGTCCCGTTCCCTTGAACAAGCCGTCGGCTGTGTATTTTCTAATTTGCGGCAACTTTTTACTTTTGGCTCAGGCGAGTGACAAGCGAAGGGACTTAATTAAGCAGAGTGAAAGAAAGAGAGACGCCCTGCACTTGATGCACACAGTGCAAAGAGTTGCACACAGACTCGAACGTGGACTCACGCAGAATCAAACGTGGACACAGCTAGCCTGAGCGAATTGCAGGTTTTGTCTGTTTGTCGGCCAGCTTTTTTTTCATGCCTCCAAATTGCAGACTTTTAGCGCGTGGTGGAACAAAACAGACCATCAAATGAGGCGTTTGTGAAAAAAATCTGTCATATTCTGTGGGCGCGCATTAAGGGCCGGTGTTAAATGTGAAATTTGGCGCGTTTAGGGGCAGTCGCTGACAATCGCCTTTCGATAAAAACCTTTGTTCTGCCGCATTTTCTGCCAGCCCCATTATGACTGGAACCAGGAGGATTAAGAGAGGAGTGCGACTTCATCAGAGAGAGCTGCCTTTGAGAGGGTAAAATAACAGCAATGACCACCTGTGTAATCGAGCGTCCAGCGCTAAAGGTGTCCTGAATAGCGACGTTCCCTGCCATTAAGCGGAGCAGCCGCAATTACCTTCCCCGGCGCTTCCTGCTTAGCCGTCCCTTCATGATATCAAACAGGCTCGGGAGCTTGATCTCCAGCTCTGCTCAGTCTCAACTGCTGTTTACTCGCTCATACAAAAGGGGACGGAGACAGGCCGCTCAAACAGCTGGTAAATGCTCGGCTCTGCGACCGGCGAGCGCCTTAGCCGAGCCGTTATTGATTTGTACTAAAGATTCTGGTCATTACGAGTAATTGATTCCTCCATCGTGTACTCTTAGCAGTGTCTTTAGAAGACTATTAACATGCCTCGGGCATTCATTTACACCAGAGAATGCTTTTTCCTGCATTGATTAGAGCGTCCTGCCCCTGCTATTAAAATTTTCTATAAATGACTAACATGAAGGAGGAAAAAAATGGGAATAGGATTTTTGAGGGATGGAAATGTTCATATTTTGGTATATGGCTGCATATATAGATGAAATGTGTGCATAGCTAATATGTAGTTACTATTACATGTCATTGCAACAGTAACTACCACTGCGTGTGGTTACCAGCACATGCTATGTACTCAGAAGACACCATTTTAATCACTGACTGTTGCCTTTGTGCCATGTTTAACACCCCTTTGCCACTAATGTAATCTGCTCTAGCATCTGGTCTTAATCTCATTTAAAGGATCAGTTATGCCAAAATCTGTATGTCGCTATAAGACACCTTGGCCAGACTCTGAACTGGTAACACAGTTTGCTAAGTCTATGTGATGCACTATGCTATTTTATCAAAAATAAAAAGGTTTTGAGTAACACTGTTGTTACAAAATGTATTTTTATATGTACGTCTGATGTATGATGATGCATCTTAAAAAAAAGGAGAAAGAGGAGGCTGCATATGTGCTGATGTCCCATAGTCGTGTATAAATTACGTTTTATAAGTCATAAGTTAATGAGTCAGAAACCGCCCTTCATTTCATTTGCAGTCGAAACAGCCGTTAAGTACAAGTTATTTGTTTTTTTAGGGGATATTGTGCAGATTAGATGTGTGATAACTCGCTTGCATAAAGAAAGGGACATTTAAAGACCAAAACTGTCACCATCACTTAAATAGTTCTTAAAGCTTTCAGCTTTGAGAGAGGAGAGAGTCCAGTTCCACTTTGGCTTCAAGAAAATCTGTCAATGGTGTTTCTGTCCATCCCTCCACTGTGAGAAGACAGCTCAGCGCTATGGGTCTGAAAGTGTGTAGCTGTCAAGAAGCAATGGACTGACCACCCCAGAGTCCAGACCTCAACATCATTGAATGTGTTTGCGATTACTCGGATCATCAGAAGCAGAAAATCCATGTTTTGATGTAACATGGTTTATTAATGTGGAACCGATGTATGCCTTAGAGCTAAGTACATTAAAAGCATTTTTTTTTGGAATATATGGTTTCTAATAATTTTTAATAAACCCTTTTAGAGGCCGTTTGAGAGATTTAGCTGGATCTCCTTGAATGCTCATGGTCTTTCTTCCACTTATATCCCTGCTGTGCATCAAACAGAGCTATCAGAGCTAAGTACATGCCGAAGAGTGTGACTTGTCCCATTCCCGACTGGCAGATTTTCCTTTTTTTTCTCCTCCTGTTATGGTGCTACAGTAACGGCGACGGCAGCGGCGCATGTAGGTTTTATTTATAGCTGGGCTGCAGTGTGGGATTGTTCCAGCGACATGCCTCTGAGTACCAGGATGACCATCAAAGGCAGCAGAGATCCATATCTTCAAACACTGCATTACAGAATTGAATTAAAGAGACATTTAGTGCACAAACATTTGGACATCAAAAACCTCGCCTGTTGCCTGGAGACTGGTCCTCTTCTTGTTTTTTTTTCGGCCAAAGCGCAGCAATGGGTGGTTTCAGTAACCCAGTTACATCCTGATTTCTAAGAAAAATACTTTTTTTTGGGGGGGGGTGGTGGAGAAAAATAATACTTTCTTTTTTTTCTTTTTGTGCTGCCAAGTCTCAAAGCTGTGTTTGCTCGCAATTCATTCACCCATTATTTCACGCTTAGTGAAAAGTGAAAAACCCGGCATTCTCGGATGTCGCCCAAGAAAAAATAAATCAAATAAACGGCAAAATCGCAGACGTGTAGCCCAGATATTATAATCAATTTTAATTAAATTTTGTTAACTGTGTCGCTCCAGCACTTTTTTGTTGCCAGTATTTATGCCTTTTATCTCTCAGATGTTGAACAGAGGAATGTGATTAAAGTATCTGTGGAGAGGAACATCGACAATGTCAGGCATCTAATCAACATTTTTCCCTAATGAATTCTTTGTTTAAGGTAACAGCGTGAATACGTAGCGTCCTGTTATGCAGATGAAGTGAGTCTCTCTGGTATTTTTCTAGGCCAGAGACATTCCTGTGCAACATTTTAATGAGACGCAACTTTCGCTCTTTCTCCATCATCCTTTTAAATGGAATGAAAGATGTGTTAAGGCTTTGCATACTTTCAGGATGTTTGAGGAGTTCAGAAAGTAAAAGTTCACTCACCCCCAAACCTCTCACTGACCGCTAGAGGGCGGTGTACAAGCCTGATGTTCTTTATTTTGAAACATAAATGTGGACTTTTGTTCTACAGTTGCCTGTGTTTGTTCTAAAGTTACTGTTCTCTGTGTGTGCCTGTGTGTGTTTGTGCCCGTATGTGTGTGTGTGTGCATGTGTGTGTCCTTTGATTTGATTGGACCTACTTAATTTCAAAGTAATTACCATTACGGAGCCACATAAAAGGAATATAAATCTGATGAAAAGGCCCCCTGTGGTGGTTTTGGTTTGGCTGGCACCCCCCCCCCCTTCGCTCGCTGCTCTGATTGAAATGAAGCCGTGTGTTTTTATCAGGGAGTGAGTGAGCGAGTGGTTCTGGCTGACTCGGCTCTCTTATCTCTCTCTAAAGCCAATCAGTGCGCCTGTGTGAGCAGGCCACAGCCCTGGCCGGCTCTGCTCTGCACCTGGCCTCGCAGGGGCCCCTGATTAGCAGAGGTCACAGGGCGGCGGAGAAATGAACCAAAGCAGGCCACAGCATCGCTCCCACCTCCCCCACCTCCACGCTCCACCTCTGCCCCCCGCGGCAAAGAGACCGACGCGCTCCAGTCTTCAAAGCACGCACGCGCACGCTTGTTTTTAATGCAGTGTTAGGACATGGGATGGAATATACAGTGGGGTCCAGAAGGCTGAGACCACTGGTGAAAATGCTTCCATTACATTTCTTTTTAATTTTATACAAGGTTTTTCATCACAGGTGAAATTATTAGCATATCAATTTGAATGACAAGTGTATTCTTTGAAATTTTAACATGAATTTCAGCATTTCTTAGTATTTCATACGTCCAACTGTTGCTTTAGTGATAGTGTGTGTTTAAGCTGGAATGGAGTTTGTGGAAAAGCCTCTGATCAGTAGATCAAATTCACCTGAGAGTCGTCTGAACATGCATTTTAATCAAAGGAATAAGACAAAAAAAAATCTGATCTTTTTGTGCAGACTTAAGGCCTGAACAGGGTTCAGTTCAAAAATTTGCTTCAGTTTGAAAATTGACCTAGGAATATTGTTGAATTTCGACAACATTTGTTCTTCATGTTCTTTGTTTTATTTTTCTTTAGATTCTGATTTTTTTTAGGCTTTTAATAAAATAAATACATTATTTTTAATTATTTATGGTCTCAGAATTATGGATTCCACTTTTACATTTCACATATGTTTGTCATAAGAAATCTTATCTCCAAGGTAGCGTCACAGGAGAAGGAAAAAACGGTTCTTAGCTGTAAAGTATATTCAGGGAATGAGATCTTCTTGCGAGTACTTTTTAACTTTTTTAAATGAAACAATAGAAATGGCTCAAAACATTTATGGTCCTGTTACATTTTAGCATAATGTTGAACATATTTTTCCCCTCTCCTGTAAAGTTAGCATGGATAAGGGAGGCTTTGTTATAATGCTGAATATATAGTTCTGTGCAAAAGTCAGAGACCCTTCATTTATTTAATTTTCAGTCAAAATGGTCATTAAGTAATGTTAATTTTTCAGGAGACATTTCTGAGGAGATTAAATATAACGTAATCTCCTGGCGTAAGAGCGAAGACAGAGGGAAGTAAGCGCAAATCACAAGTTTCCAAAATTTCAAAAAATGATTATAAATTAACAGAGAAAATGGGACTCCTAACAACCATTCTACTTAATGGGATTTTCATTTTAACCGTAAGAATATGTTGACTGTGAAAACTGCACGGGACTGTGAGCAGTTGTGGGTGCAGAATATGGACGTTTTCGCACAGCAGTTCAGCACCACTTAAAATATTCTACTCTTCAGGAGTTCAGTAAACTCATCGCCAAACACCTGAAGATTCTATATGTATTAAGAATTCTTTATGTCCAACCTTAAATCTTAACCTCAGTAACAGAAAATAAATTGTTTGAATTGAATCGTTTGAAATGAAAATGGAGCTTTTGTACTTTACAAAATCAGAAACTCCTCAGTTTGCAGTTTTTTTTCTCTTTTTTTGTACAAAATACTGAACATGTCCTGAAAGCACACAAAAACAAACACTCGCACACACACACACACACACACGCACACACGCACACACACGCACAGCCTTTGGGGTTGTATCTGTCCACATCAGATTACACCACTGATAATGGACATGGACCCTCAGTGAAAGCAGAGCGTAATACTTAGTGTTAGCGTGAGCATCTGCAAATGTCCCAGGAGGCTCTCGTCCAGTTTTTATTAACCTGGATTTTTAAAAGAAAGGACCGAGGACCAAGTGTGCTCAGATGTAATATTTGGGGTCATGCTCATTTTTCCCCAAAACCCCTCCTGTGGTCTCCAGATCAACAAATACTAAGCCGTACATGATGCCCTCTCATGTAGATATAGAACAGAATGTGTTCTTAAAGCTTCAGTTTAGCACCTTATTCACACCCCAAACGCCTCGCTGGAGTGGTCCCCACCCCTTCTAAACACTCTGCTAACGTGAACCCCTCTCAGATTTCTGCCCTGCATTAACTGCTTTTGTGTCAAGGCCACACCCAGTGTTAAGCCAGGTGATCACGGTGTGTGCTCATGCGTATGTGTGTGTGTGGAGGGGGGCGGGGGGTAGAGGGGAGGGGAACAAGGTTAGACACATTAAAGTGTGTTTTGCGCTAAACAGCTCAGAGGCTCTGATTCCGTCTCACCTCTCTTTCTGTGGGTTTTGGAAACGCCTGCGGGTTCGCCTCTTTTGAAAGAAGGCAGCATTGAAAAAAGAAGAAATAGAACATAGAACATCAGTTTCAACACGGATCCTTTCTGATTTCTGTCCTGTCCTTTTTCTTCCTTGTTGTCGCTTTAGAATGTTTATTCAACCCTTTGATAATCTCGTAACTGCTCATTCAAATGACAGCGTGTGATGCGAACCGTGCGACCAGCAGCATTCTGGCCTAAGTTATGATATTGTTCACAATATATCAAACAGTATGCGAAGCCCGAGGCTTTTCTAGAGATTGTGAAAATATTGCCAGGTTGTATATTGTATGAAATTGATTGAATCAGAGCACAGAATGCTGCTTGAAAGTGGAGAGCTTATTGCTTTCTCAAATGAGCCACTTTGTCATGGTATCAGTGCGCACCTCCACCGAGACGTCATGAAAGCTGTAATGTGTGCCATGCATTTTGTGACAGGAATGGCTCGTGATATCAGCTCAGAGCCTCACACTTAAGTTCGATCTCATGGCAAAGTGTATTTTAGGGCTGTGCAGTGTATCATTTCTTAATAGTTGGCCTAATATTGGTCT